TGGGCTCATCAGTAGACTGGACATGGCTAAGGAAAGAATCAGGGAGCTTGAAGATGTATCAATAGCAACTTACCAGACTGAAATGTGAAGAGAAAACATGGAACAGACTATCTAGGAGCTGTGGGACAACTATAAAAGGTGTAACATGTGTAATGGGAATACCAAAAGGAGAAGAAAGGAGGAAGGAAGGAAAGGAAAAAAGGAGGGAGGGAGAGAGGGAAAAGGAGAGAGAGAGGGAAGGAGGAAGAAAAACAGTAGAAATATTTGAAGTAATAATGACTGAAAATTTTCCAAAATTAATGAGACAGACACCAAACCACAGATCCAGGAAGCTCAGGGAGCACCAATTAGGATAAAGAGCAAAAAATCTATACTTAGGCATATCATATCCAGACTGCAGAAAATCGAAGACAAAGAGAGAATCTTAAAAGAAGCCAGAAGGAGAAAAAAATACATTACATATAGGAGAGGGGAGATAAAAATTATACCAGATTTCTCTTAAGAAACACACAAGCAAGAAGAAAGGGGAGTAATTTAAAATGTTGAAAGAAAAACCCACCTACAATTCTATACTCAGCAAAGTTCTTCTTCACAAGTGAAGGAGAAATAAAAACTCTCAGACAAAGAAAAACTGAGGGAATTTGTCACCAGTAGACCTGCCTTGCAAGAAACAATACAAGAAGTTCTTTAGAGAGAAGGAAAATGGAATAGGTTAGAAACTTAGATCTACATAAAAAAAGAAGAGTGTTAGAGAATGAATAAATTAAGGTAAAATAAAATCTCTAAGTTTTCTTATTCTTAACTGATCTAACAGATAACAGTTTGTTCAAAATAATAATAGCAACAATGTATTTGGTGATTGTACTTACGGATACGTGACATGAATTACAGCAATGTCACAGGGACAGGAAGGAGGAATTGGGAATACTCAGTTATAAGCTAACTGCACTACTGTGAAGTGGATATAGTGTCCTTTGAAAGTGGACTTAGATTAGTTGTAAATGTATATTGCAAAACTCTGGAGCGACCACTAAAAAGATTAAAATGAAGTATAATTGATATGCTAAGAGAGGAAAGTAAGTAGAATCATATAAAATGCTTAAATAAAACCAGGGAAGATAGAAAAAGAATGGAAGACAAAAAAGAAACAAAAAACAAAGGCAATGAATAGCAAATAAAAACATGGTAGATGTTAATCCATCTATGTTAATAACCACTTTAAATGTGAATGATCTAAATACACCAATTAAAAAACAAGAGACTGTCAGAGTGGATAAAAAACAGACCCAACTATAAGTTGTCTACAAATCACATTGTTGGACATCACATAAGGAGATCTATGGGTCAGCCAAAAGATCCCTAGCCTGAGGGTCAGGAGACTTGGGTTTCAGTCTGGTCTATCCACTAACTAGCTGTGTGACCTTTGACAAGTGACTGACATTCTCTGAGCCTCTCTTATTCCTTCTGTAAAATAAGAGGATTTAGACTAAATCCCTTAGGCTCCCTTCCCGCTTGAAATCCAATACCTCTTTACTAGGATCTGGTGAGTAAATGTGGACAGTCAGGGCTGAAGCATCCGTAGGTGCTTTTGGTTGGACTGACTTCATAAGAGACACGGCTGCAGCCAGCAGGCGGGCGTACATGAACATGAGAGCACAAATCCAAAGTCCTAGCTACTCTGTGAAAACTGAACTCTTGGAGACCAATGGATGGCAGGAATCCCTCAGCTGGGTCCATATTTGAGTAGGGGATAATTATAAGGAGTTTGCAAGCAGTCTTTAGGTTGACATGTCTTCTACTGGTAAGGAAGGAGGAAGGGCCAGAGAGGAACTCAGGGGGTCCATGTTGAATGCAAAGGTGTAGACGGGACAGAGGATTATTATAGCTCCTTGTCTGACATTCCTGCCCCATTGTTATCTTTTCAGATTAAAACTACCTCCCCCGTTTCCACTACTGCCCCCTGCTCTGTACATATACATCCTCTACAGAGGAAGAGAAAAGGGAATTTCAAACATTTAAGTCCCACTTTTAAGAAGATTGTTCTTCATGATCAAGATCTTGTTTGCAGCATCTAGCCAAAGCCCTCCTGATCCTCAGAGATACCCATGGCATGACTTGTCCATTTTTGGCCAAAGGCATAACCGTTCTGATGGAAGAAACTGGAAGAGAACCTTTGGAACAATCTTTAAAAACCCTGGGGACATCAAAGGGAAACTAAATCAAAGACTCTGCATTAAGTCAATACCCTAGACTAGGAGATGACAGCAGACTTTTTGCTTTCCCAGGTGGTTTTCCTCTTAGGGTAAAGTGGTCTGGATTGACTGCATTCTTTCCCTCTGACACAGTTCTGCATTGTATGGAAGCCGGCCCTATGCTGATCTTACAGACACCTCTTACCTGGGTCTAAGCGACATCTTATAAAACCCCAAATCCATGAAGCACTGACATTTCCACTGGGAAATTGTGGGACTTCTAATATCCCACCAGATGGACGGCTCCATGAAGGAAAGGACTGTGACTGTGTTTGCTAATCACTATGCCCACTGTACCTAGCTCAGTCCCTGCCACATAGTAGGTGCTCAATAAATATTTGTTAAATGAAGAAAAAAAATCCAGCACAAATGAGGGCCTGGAAGAAGTATGCATGGTTCAAATTTGATGATTGCTAAAAATACTTTTTAAAAATATTAATTCATTTAACAAACAATCATTCAGTGTTTTCTCTATGATAGGCGTTAAAATACAGAAATGAATGAGATGGAGTGACGATTCTCATAAAGAAGAGAGGGGATGATATTCGCTGAGTGCTATGATAAGCTAGGCACTTTTTATCCATTATTTCATCCTCCCAACAACGCTGTGAGGTATTATTAGCTCCTTTTGCCGATAAAGAATCAGAGACTTGCACAAAGGCCCATATCTAGCAAATGGTAGAGCCAAGAATTTATTGCAGGAATTGGGTACTACCCTCTACAATGTACTTTCTCCCCAAACCACATTTAAAATCACTGTGTGATGTTCTGTTATGTGACGTTTTTTAAGAAAACTTAGGTTCTCAAAAATTGATATAAACAAATAGTTTCATTGAGAAAAGAGGTTAGACTCTCAATTTCAAGTCATTTATGTTGGAAAAAAAATTCCAATAATACAGGTGCTTTCAACTACCTGAGTGTGTAATTGGAGGCTAAAAATAATAAATCGCTTGAACAAACTAAATGAAAATTACCAAGTTAAGTCCTAAATAGCATCCAAGACCTGAGTCAGTGAGCTTCTAAACTGTCATTACCATAACTCATAGCTACAAAAAACAAAACACAATGCTGAACTAAGATGGCTGAAGTCAAAATAAAGGGCAGCATAGTTCACACTGCCAACAGAACAGAAGAACATGAAACATGAAACCACGAAGCTGCCAACTGTTCCTCTGCACACAACAGCTTCTTGCCAGGACCCTGGCACTAACTCCTGTCTGCTTGAATTATAACCAGTAGAAATGCATAATGCGAATTGTGTTGCTTAAGTCAACTATTGTGTCGGATCCTATTTGTTTTCTGAATGCTCAAACTGCAGGAGAGCAACCTGCAATAGGGAATTGAATTCTTAGACACAATTCACAAACGAATGCTTAGAAATGGTCAACGTAGAGAAATGCTCTTGTCCCTCTTGTAGGGACAGGAGGCCCACTGCAGAGGTGGCCATGTGACTTGCATGTCTGAGGGTCACAGAGAGGCTCCTGGGTCGCTTGTTTCCCTGGCAGTTTTGGGAATCGCCATTTCTTCCCAACAGGTGAAAATACACAGGGCCTGGAAGCATCTGTACTCATATATGGGCAGAAACTTTGAAACCACCTTGTTCTCACCCACCCTGCCTGGATCAGACGAGGAACTGGGAAAACAGAAATCCACAATCAAACCAAATTCCAGCAGCTCAGAAAGTGCCCAAAGTGGCGAGAAATGGTCCAGGGCTGGAATACTCCTAAAAGATATGGCCCAGTCCTAGTGCAGAGATGACCTTCTCTTATATTTTGATAGCTCCCTGCAATTTTCAATAATTTCCCAACAACTCTGAGAGTAAAGTCATATTCCTATTTTTACAGATGAAGAAACTGAAGGTGAGTAAGAGATTCTTCACAGCTAGCAACTGTCAGAGTAAGGCTCAAATCCTGAGTCTTCCAACTCCATATTGAATAGACTGTCCACCACAGGCTTATAGGGTGACCTCAGGAATGCGTTTTCTAGGAGCAATGGCTTTCGAGTCAGATCTGCGTTTGCCTATCCCAGATGTACCATTTTTTAGCCATATAATTTGGGTAAGTTCTTTAACTTCATTAAGCCTTAGTTTTCTCATCTGTAAAATGGGGATGCACGTAACACCTGACTCATGGGGCTCCTGTGAGGATCAAATGCAAAAGGCATACAGCATGCTCAGCTTGGAACCTGGCCCTCATTAGAGCTGGACAGATGTTGAGGGTTTCAGGCCATGTTTAGCGTACGGACTCTGGAGGGAGGAATCTCCTTTCCCCCTTGATAGTTCAGCATGCCTTGGGGCACAAAGCCCCCAGGGGACATTTCATAAAATTTATCTAAAGCTACAAGATAAAATCATGGGGGCCCGGCCCAGTGGCGCAGCAGTTAAGTTCACATGTTCTGCTTCTCTGTGGCCCAGGGTTCACCGGTTTGGATCCCGGGTGCAGATGTGGCACCACTTGGCAAAAGCCATGCTATGGTAGGCGTCCCACATATAAAGTAGAGGAAGACGGGCATGGATGTTAGCTCAGGGCCAGTCTTCCTCAGCAAAAAGAGGAGGATTGGCAGTAGTTAGCTCAGGGCAAATCTTCCTCAAAAAAAAAACTTGGGACAAACAGGGAGTGCTTGGGAGCCTGACCACTGAGCCTAGAATGGGGTGGAGGAATGTCCACTCCACAGGGGCCATGTCTGTGCCTCCTCCCACAGTGTCATCTGTGCTGAGTCCCTAAGGCAGAGAGGACCCTCCATTCCCACCTGGAAAGCCATGGAGTTGGCGGCAGCCAGAAATATCCTCAGAGGCAGCTTGGCCTTGTAGGACCTGTGGCTCCACAAGCGATGGGCACCAGCTGTCACACCCAGAGCCGTCAGGAGGAAGCAGAAGTAGGCTGCAAGACACAAGCAGGGACAATCTCAGCAGATGTCACAGAGCTTTTAAACATCCCCCATTCTTTTTTTCTCTCCTGAATAGGGACCCATGTGAAATGGCGTCAGGGGAAGAATCTGCAATGAAAAGAATCAGTAACTTGCGAAAATGCCGCCTTTTTCTTGATTTGTAGCTTTCCATTACCAGACAGAAGCAGAGAGAACTCTCCTCAAGAAACTCTGACCTTTTAACATCATTTTTTCTATAGCAAACAAATGTTTCATTTGCTAATGTTTCTTTCCAGTCTCGATGCAAAGCCGCAACCATTTTAGTGTGCATTTGTAATTCAGTTTTATGTGTCACTCTTGGTAGAGCTGAGACTGATCTCTACGTTGCCTCTCAACTGGTACCCATGCCAGGATGAATTCTATGAAGAGCATATTTCTAAATGGCAGTGCTCACTATCATGGCTCCATAGACATTGGTTCAAAGGAAATCAGGCCAGACCTAAAAGCAATGAAGTCTGGCTCAGGGCCAAGAAGAATGAGGACAAAACCAACATCAGGGACCACTGAGACATGTCTTCTGGAGACCCTCACCCACACCATCACTATGACCTGGGCTGGCAAAGACTGCCAGGTGGGGAATTTTTAAAAAGCCAACCTACAGCGGAGCTTATTACCTGCCACACAGTTAAACATATTACCTCTAATCCTCACAACAGTGGTTATTGTCTCATTTGACAGTCGAGGACCTGGATCACGGAGAGTTAAATCCTGCAAATAAAACCAGGTCAGCCTAGTTCTAAAGCCTCTGCCCAGAGAATCCATGCTGCCCCCAGGTGGTGGCAGTGGTTTGTTCTTTGTATGGAGACAGGAGAGGGTGTAAGTGCATGGAGGAAAGGGGACACATAGGGACCAAAAATACATGACTCCTGAGATTATTACAACTACTCTAGTGGTTTAAAGCAATGTGCCCACACAATGTTAAATGTCTTACTTGGATTATCTTATTAAAACATCAAACAACCATATAGGGTTTGTATTATTATTAGCCCCATTTTACAGATGAGAAAACAAAGGCTTAAAGAAGTTAACTAATTTCCCAGTGTCACAAAGTTAGGAGGTGTCTTTGTTAAGAGTCACACCCAAGTCTGTCTGAACCAGCAACTGAGTTCTGACCTGTGCACTCCCCTCTGCCTCTGGGAGATACAGGGTAACACCCCATTGTCGTCCTGAATGAGGAATCCCAATCTAAATTTAGAAGTGAGCTGCTTCCTTACTGGGGTGGGGGGTGGGGGGCCTACACCAGGCTATGAGCAGGTAGGATTAGGCAGATTATGCTACACAATTGCTTCTCACACTTACCACATGCAGGGCCCTCCATAAAGAATTGCCAAAGAACAAGTCAGCTCTGAGTACGTCCCAAAGCAGTTGTAAATGGTCCCAGGCCAAGACAAGTTCTTAGGGAGCCTACTATAACACTCCTTTGGAAGAATTACTACGGTAACTTCAGCATCAATATACATATTTAAAGGGAGCACAATATTACAACTTCCAAAAGTTAAGTCTGACTGATCTTTATCTTAATCCATATTTATATGGGTCTAAAAACAAGACTTACCTTTGGCACTAAGATTAATGAGTCTCTAAGTATATGTAGTTTTCATGAACTTAACAAATCATTCCTTACTTGAAAGGTTAAAAACAGAAAGCAACAGGGGCTGACCCAGTGGCGTAGTGGTTAAGCTCACACACTCTGCTTCAGCGGCCCTGGGTTCACGGGTTCAGATCCTGGGCACAGACCTACACACTGCTGATCAACCCGTGCTGTGGTGGCGTCCCACATACAAAATAGGGGAAGATTAGCACAGATGTTAGCTCAGGGACAATCTTCCTCCCCCCAAAAACCCCACAAAACAACAACAATCTGCCCATAAATCACAGAAAATAGTAGTAAATAAAAAGCTCTGCCTTCTTTTGTTATTGTAATCTAACCTTGGTTATGAGTCCAAGAAATGGATAGCTATTTTCTACATCATCCCTGGCCTCCAAGTTTCTACCAATAATTTATTTCTAACTGTCAAGTAATTAGGGAACAAATGAAATCTATAATGGAAAAATTCGATGTGACCCTATTTTGCCAGTGGGCTAAGACACCGGACCTTGGGTGCAATAAAATGAATTCCAAGACTCCATGAAAAACACTAACCAAAAACGAATTCTTCCAGTCCCGGTCTCCCAGGCAGGGCCCTACCAGACTTTGGCATTGTCCTGTCCTTTTTGGGATCTCCGATATTTCAGAGATCACTTGCATGGTTGGTCTGTCCATGCTCAGGGCACTGACAGTGGGCTTGAGTCAGAGACTGTACCAGGCAGTAGTGGCTGCTGGTTTTTTGTAGTCCTTCTTCTGGCAACAGGAATGTGGCCATGTGACCCAGGCCTGGCCTAGCATAATACCCCATCTTCCTGGCCCTGGGAATAAACACCTGACCCAACCCTTCTCTCTCTTTTGGTTCAAAGACTAAAGGTCACATATTAAGGCATGATTGCAATAGTAAAGAATGAGGCTAGGAAAGTGAGACATAAAAATGATGGAGATGTCAACAAGAGCTAGGAGAGCTGCCTGCATTGCGGTTGCAAGCCCTGGAGCTCTCGAGTTCTTCTTTTGATCCTGCGAGCCTCCCCAGTATCTCTTCTAGTTATGTGAGCCAACAAATTCCCTTTTCTTGCTTAAGCTAGTTTGCACTGGATTTCTGCTTCTAAAAATCTGCAGAACCTCTAGCAAAGAAAGCAACCTTCTGGTCATACCTCAAATGAGGATAATCTGCAAAAACCCTGGGCTGGATGTGAGGATTTATGGGCTGTTCCATTAAGAAGACTCAGTTTTCCTACTTTGAAAGGGTTAATCAGAGAGGTTCAAAACCTCTCTTCTATGATATTTTTGGAGAGTAATATCCAACAAGTTTTCCGAGGGATGCTGGCTAGCTGGCTCTGAGGTGGTGAAGTGTTCAGATACAGAACTGATAATTTGGGGAAGAAAAGGAGTGATGAGTAGTGTCGATAACTTTACCAAGTAGCTCATATCTCATAGAGAAAGGTGCTAGATCAACAGAAACTAAAATCACAAAATTACAGAAGAGTAAGCAACAAACAAGTTGGTCTGTGTGCAAATAAGAGTCACCAATTCTGGCTGCCCAAGCCAAAAAGAAATGTACTAAAAAGATATTGAGTAGCCTTCAGAACTCATGGGAGGGTTGCAGGATAGGGTTTTGGTACACGGCCTCCAAAATAGGCCCGATGCTCCCCAGCTCCTGGTATTCATGGCCTTGTGCAGTCTCTTCTCCTTGAGTAACTTGCTTCTAATCAAAATAATATAGCAACATTGAGGAAATGTCAATTCTACGATTAGGCTACAAATGATTATGACCTCTGTTTTGCTGGCAGATTCTCTCTCACATTGGCTTTGATGAAGTCAGCTGCCACGTTTGGAAGGTCCCTGTGGCAAGGAATTGAAGATGGTTTACAGACAACAGTCAGCAAAGAAATGAGGCCCTCAGTTCAATAATCCTCAAGGAACCACGTCCTGTCAACAACGATGTAAGTGAGCTTGGGAGCAGATCCTTCTCCAGATCAGCCTTCAGGTAAGACTGCGGCCCTGGCTAACACATTGCTACCTTGTGAGAGATCCTGAGGCAGAGGACCCAGCTCAGCTGTACTGGATTCCTGTTCCATAAAAACTGTTAGAAAATAATGTATGTTGTTTTAAGCTGCTACATTTGGGGGTAAGTTGTTCTGCCGCAGTAGGTAACTAACTCAAGACTTAAGTAGGAACCTTCCCTCAAGGGAAAGAAGGTAGAGGTTAAATCCTGATTTAAGAACAGATTGCCACCCATAGGAACAGAAACTAGATTCGTGTCGCATGGGGCTGGTTGGGCAGGAAGAGGGGAGTGACTGCTAATGGGTACAGAGTTTGGGAGGTAAAGGGTGATAAAAATGTTCTAAAATTGATTTTAGTGATGAATGTACAATTCTGTGAATATACTCTAAGCCAATGAATTGCAGATTTTAAATAGATGAGTTATATGGTATGAGTTATAGTTCAATAAAGCCATTATTTTAAAAAAACTACTAGTGAATTTCTATTAGGTTTTGTTATCATCTATATATTCTCAATGTAAAATAAAATTGACATGTCACAAAATGAACAAAAATCAACCATTTGGCCTAGGATGCCACCTCAGGCATCATCATCTCATCACTACTTGCCACCACCGGACACTCATGTCACACTATGGACTCTCAAACCTTCCAGAGCTGCCAAGAAGAGTCTCTATTTAACCCTACACCGATGCCTGAATCTATCCAGACCCAAGATTCCAGGGAAGAATCACCTGAATGCCCAGGTGTGGCTCACAGGCCCACGCTCTAGCTCTGAGCAACGGAAGAGGGACAATCCGTGGCCCTTGTGGCTTCCACGGTGGAAGGCAGAGCCTCCCATCTATCCCAAGTCACCTGGGGGAACAGTGTTTGGAGAATGAGTGTCATGACCCCCTCTGGACCACACAATCGGAGAACAGTCCCGGAGAGACACCAAGAACCAAAAAATTAAAACTCCCTTAACTCTGGACCTGATCAGAGGGAGAGACGGACAGCCCCCTTCGAGACCCATCCCTGAGCAGTAGACGGAAGGGAACAATTGGTAGAGCTTTTTCACCCTCACTTACCATCTATGTCTCTAGCATTAGAGTGAAAGCTAATAAATAATAGTAATAGCTACCATTGCCTGAGAGCTTTCCATGTGCCAGGCCCTGTTCTAAACACTCCATACATAGTAACTTGTTGAATACTCACCTCAAGTCTAGGGAGCAGGTAATATTATGATTTCCTTCTTATAGATGAAGGAAACTAGACAGAAAGTGATACAGCCAGGATATAATCTAAAGCAGGAAGGCCCACACTCTGAATACCCATGCTGGCTGCCTGACCCCTGGAGGCTGTCTTAATTCTAGTGGGAGGAGCT